CTGCATCCTCCCTCTCCCGCCAGGCCTGTGCCGCCTGGACCTGCAGAACCGCGCCGGCTACACCGCCGTGATGCTCACCCCCCTGGCGGCCGCCGAGACGGCCGAGGACATGGAGGTAGTGATGAAGCTGCTGAAGGAGGGGGACGTCAACCTGCGAGCTGCCCAGGTAGGTCCCTGCAGCACGGATGGTCCTTTGCAAACCCTGCAGGGCCCCTCCGTGGTATGGGAGGGTGGACAGCTCATTCATTTGGTAAAATTAGCTGCCAAGTGACTGCTGCTGAGTTTGTAGCCTTCTCTTTACACCCACTGTCATGTGATGGCAGTTCAGGCTGTGGCACCATTGTGTCCCCCATAGATCTCTGGGTTTAGGGAGGGGACAGAATTTTGGGGTCCTGAGCCTGCATGTGCAGGCTGAGACCCAGCAGTGGACACTGGGTTGCGGTTGCTGCTTCCCAAGAGTTACAAAAGCAACCTCAGATAAATTGCACCGTGGCCACCCACCAGCTCCCTGCAAAGGGAGATGGATAAACTGAAGCAGCAAAAGGAAAGCTGAAGGTTTTGCAAAGTAACTTGTGGGAGCTAAAAAGTTAAAAGTCTGAGGAAGTGATAGAGAGGAGGAGCAGTGCAGGATGGACCCTGCGGTACAGGATCCCCAGGTTTGGTGGTGAGCAGTCATTCATCAGAGGGTCACACATTTTGGTATCAAGAGAGGACAGTGCTCTCATCCAGCTTTTCTTCCAAACTGCTGTAGAAGTTAGTCCAGGCCTAAGTTAACATCCCCAGGAGGGTCACAGGGAGCAGTGTTTGGGAGCAGCTGGGAGCTGGGCTGTTTGGCCATGCTGCTGCAAAGATTCTCCATGTGGCTGTGGTGCAAGGGAGCAGATATCTCTTTCAATACCTGCTAAAGAACCCCAGAATATTAATAATAATATTAGATAATAATTATATGAAATACGTAACAATATAAATTATTATATATGTACTATGCAATGATAATATGCAATCTTATCATGGGAGCATTCAGGGCAGGTTGGTTGGCATTTGTGGCAACTGGCTCTAGTGGGAGGTGTCCCTGCCTATAGCAGGGAGGCTGGAATTAGGTAAACTTTAAGGTCCCTTCTAACCCGAACCAGTCTGGGATTCTATAATATGCAAGCTTATGATCTATATGCAATTATAATATTCACTGTTACTATTACATAGACCAGTCTGAACTGCAGAGGCTGGTGGACAAGGGGGTGTTCAGCCTTTTCCTGTTGCAGGGGGGCCAGACTGCCCTGATGCTGGGGGTCAGCCATGAGCGGGATGACATGGTGAGAGCCCTCCTGACCTGCCAGGCTGATGTCAACCTGCAGGATGAGGAGGGGACAACAGCCCTGATGGTGGCCTGCAGGCAGGGCAATGCTGACATGGTCCGGCTCCTCCTGGCCCAGCCCGGCTGCCAGGTCGCACTGACAGACAAGGTGAGGCTCTGGCACCGTGCTCAGGCTCAAGCACAACCTCCTGTACAGCAGGTAGGGA